TTTGAAATGAAACCCCATACACGTATGAACAATTTGAAGCAAAGATAGCGTTTTTCGCACGTGCCACGGCGCGTTACAATGCACGCGCTAGGAATCAGACGGAGTACACATTAGAGCGCGTTTGGTGACAAGGTGCATTCAATCTGATTACGATTCTAAACGCGCGCATCAATTTACAGTGCCAATTAAATTTACATTACAGATGGGAGGATTGAGTTGTGTAAGTTAATTTTATTAAATGAGTGTTAAGTGTGTTGTGAAAGAGATTCGAGCACGAACAGGACTAACACACTGACAACGTTTGATCATCCGCGAAAAAAGTGACAATTTGCACGTGCTATCTTCTCCCTGCCCATATTTCACACAACTATGGCGAAATACTCATGAATTTTTCAAAGACATTTTGCACTAATTTTCGTATTTTAACTACTGAAATATCCAATTAGGTGGTTCTTTTCCCGCATCACTCATCAGTTACTGAACTCACGTCGGGGTTTGTTTGTGGGTATTTTTAAAACCTGTTCAATGAAACAGTAATGCGAGGCAAATGTAGAAATTATACGTCATAAAACATGTTAACGTGATAATTTCCATCACATTAAAAACATGAAATCCCGCAAAACATTAAAATGAAACTTCAGATAATGATCAGCTCATTGAGCGTTATATTAAACAAAAATATACATGCGGTATATTTGCGATAGTAATGGAAAAAAAGAAAAGACGGAACGTTAAAAAAACGGAAAACGATAAGTTGACACGTGATGAAAATGCTGCACGAGACTCGCTATTTGTGGCCTATATTTACATAAGTACATTCACCAGTCGGGAAAATAAATGTGTTTAGTGCTAAAACTCGCAGTAAATGGCACTTTTCACTCATCAATTCTGTAAACCCGTTCTCGGGCAGCTAAACGGCAAGCCAGCCGCTTCAGGGGATGGGGGAACCCCTCAACTACGGTCATTAAAATTCTGTTAGGGAAGGATATTTGGAAAATATTCCCAAGTCACTTGTTTGATGAGAACATCTCTTCTCCCCTCGTTCATCATAAGGCGAGTAGTTGGATGGGGCTAACTCCATGTTCGCTGGTTAGGACATCAGACAGGTGAGTGTTTTAATAAGCCAGAATTTCGCATTTCTGCCATAACCGTTTACGCGTTTGTTGACAGCTATCACAATGCCTGCATCGGTTCAATTCTTTTGTGCTCATCATTCTTGTTAAATATCATTTATGGGTATATTTTCACGCGCGTATTTTAACGAAATGGCGACTCGGTTGAATTAACATTTTTAAGTCGTATATTTATTTCCGATCAATTCATTGAAGTGTAATAAAAAAGATTACCGTAAACAATAATTAAATAAACATCACAAAATAAAATATTCGTTAAGTGAAAAAATATATATCACAGATTTTCAGGAACTTGTATTGATAATCATATACATGTTTAAATCTTGCAATTCTACATGTGAAATATTCGTGGTGGACCACTATGTATGTCTCAGAACCCTGGGTGTGCATCTAGGTATATCACGCATCGATCCCAGCCAAACATCGATATACATACGGCAAATGGCCCGAAGCACATGTTCAACACAACAATCGCACAGACAGCGAGTTTCAGTCTCAGCATGTATGTTTTCCAATAGCCCGAGATCAAAGTAAAATTATCTACCATTGCACAATTTTCCTTTAATAAAATTCTAAAAGTTTATTCAATGAACATAACTTTTATTTCCTTGTTTACGTGCTCCGGTTGTTACAGGAGCCGCCGAAGTGGCACATCGTTTGTGTTCAAGACTTCGGTGTTATTTAGAGGCCCAAAATTTCTCGATTCATTAAAAATACGTATCATCTCACAGGCTTCGCTTTTATCTATCGCAACTGTATTGTTTTCAGTGGTATAACTCCCCTGTGATTTCTTTATGAGAAGCAATGGGTTGTCTATAGAGTATACCCCCTTGCGTTCTAGAAGTAACATAAACGTTTCGGAACTAAACTCTCGACATAGACGCATCTCTTTGTCCTAACTTGTACGCAGATGTCGTAAAGTTTTATTCGTTCTTGGTTCGGTGCTTAAAAAGAAGCGGACAGAGAACGCTAAGGCGAAAACACGGGTAAATTTGTCGCTCGGCCATAATGCAACAATGCCGGACACGTTCACTGCAGTTGTAAAAGCCCCATATACATGTTTCCCGTTCACTAACGCTGTGAGAGGGGCAACTTAAAAGGGCTAGGGATACCACCCGTAGACTGGGCCCCTATGCGTACAACGGCATCAAACTCACACGAGCAGCTGATGGAGAATATTTATGTTGTTTATCGTACCACCTCATGGCACCTTTACCAGGCTTTAGCGTGGATGGGGCTCCACGTACATCCATATGTTCAATGACCACCTTGTTCTTCTAGCCTGTGGTTTGTTTTGAAAATAAGCTTTAAGGGTTTGGTATCCTTTGGTCTAAACACAGAACGCTATAATTCAACAGGATCCAAATTCATCTCCCCACGATACCTATACTTTCTACGCTGAACCATTCTCCGAGTTAAACGATTTGCAATCCACTAATTGTTGACGCTATTGTTCCGGAATAAATGTTTCAGAAATCTCGTTAAAAAACAATTATTTTTCCCCGCTGCAGACATCTCAATACAATTTTGTACGTGTCACATTATTTATGAAACATGTCAAAGACTAAAGTTTAAACGATTACCCTTTTTTCCCAGCCCCTATTGTTATGACGCAAGATCTGCACGGAACACGGCGACGGTGATTATATTCAAACTGCTATCAGTATAAGTGACATCAGATATGTCCACTCCTAAACAATTCCAGCTGGCATTGTTTATTCAGTGAATGTTAAAACACTGCAAGCACATCCTAGTATTTTTCTCAAGTATTTTCCACTAAACCAAACAGAAACATATCTGATTGATAGCTAAAACAGATTCGATTTCTCATCTGGCGAGCAGTCCGCGTTATTCGATGTGACTATTATGTTGTGTTGACGGAACATAGAGAAAGTAGTGACATCCACCAGACCGTGGCGATGTTATCTTAGCGTTTCCCTTATCAGTGATATAATCCATTTGGCGTTCAATATGCCAATGAGTTATCAATGTACCTCATTGTTGGCGATACGGACGTTGATGGCCGGGGATGTTTCTATACGGGCATTGTCGCCGCAGAGTAAATGCTTATTCACGACCACGCAATGTGACCGACGGATGCCGTGAATGGGACGCAGTTTTCTAAATGGGGGAATGATATTTAGAGAGAAAAAAATCGTCAAATATTTCTAAACGCTTTTCCATGCGCAAGCTTAATATGATAGCATATCAGGGCAAGATTGAGGGATAGTTTAGAAACGGTGCATGGTAATAGCATGCCAGGAACGACTTTCGACATTTTGTACGTTTAGATATTCAGACAGTGCCTCTGGGTAGTCCTGCTTTCTGATTTCAGAATAGATTCAATCGATGGAAGCACTTGACCAAAGAATCTAACAGAAGTCCGCCCCACTTGCTATTGTAGGGGCTCCGAGTACATTGTCGACACAAGTCCTATTGTTGCAAGTTCTTCAGTTCGATCGTCGGTGTCACCGCGCCTGTAAGGAGGGGCGAGGGATCTGTTGGTGTCACAGTTCCTCGCCTCTCCCCGGCACCGTCACATCGAGTTAGACGTCGGAACAACGAGGAGACACATTGTAACATTGTCTGCCGCGTTCGCGGGGGATATCAACCAAGTATTGTTTTGCATTTAACTATAATGATGAACTCCTAATTCCCCAAAGTTTCGAAAATGTTATCAATATTTAAATCAATATAAAAAGAAGAATCATTTGCCGTTTTATTTCAAATTAAAGATTACGTCACCCAAAGTAAACAAACGAACTAAAGAAGGCAATTATGTTATTATATACAATATCGAGACTAATTTCCAAGGTCTCTTGAATTACGGACCAAAACGAAATACATCTTTTTGTTTGAATTTGTGTTATAAAGTCATCATTTTTAACACCCAGACGAACTAACCCCTATTCGCCACCCCGTTTAATCTGATATCGAGTCAGCGCAATGTGTTTTAGCATCTTGACTTCAACAAGGCTATGAAAAATATTTCAGGCATTGTAAGTGAGCGTACCACAGTGCCTTACATAGACTGGGATCCGACGGAGGAGAGTGTATTACATCAGCGAGATGTTCTGTGTCATTACCGCAACCTTGTGGATATAGACAGCTTTGATCATCCTTCTAAGCAACAATATAGCTTGACTTGTGCATGACAAGAATTCCTTTTGAAAAAGGCTTCAAACATAAAATTTAAAAAAATGTTGAGAACTATTCATATTGAAGCGCTCAGCGCCTGAGAAATATGAGTACATTCGAGTTTAAGTGAGGTTCGTCATACCACTATCGTGTTCTATGTTGTTGTATTTGAATACGGTTTTATTCATGTACTCACAACCCTAACAATAAGAATATTAGGGTTTATGTTTCAACACAACAAACATACGACTAATCTTTAGTAATAAGACAGATATCGGGTCAGATTGTTTATTTATTTGGTATGTATACAATCCCCACTTGAATCTTGAATATAGGCACTTATCTATTTGACGAGGCGCTGATCGAATTTAATGGTTTCGGCACGCGCCGCTCTATCCGGCTTTTAAACATGAGCCAATTAGCACGAGAGATACAGGTTTACGAAGACCGCATGCTAAAATGTGAGCCGATTATCGCCTAGAATAAAATTAAGTTAATTTGCGAGAACTTCTGACAAACAATCCGGTTACCGGCAATTTGTATCAAACGGCTGTGGGGGGTTATGTATGAGGGGGATGCTAAAGTGGCAAAATACAGAGACGGATAAAATAAATATTTCTTAAAGGGATGCTTTGTTAGGGAGGGGTCTGCAATGTGCAAATAGTTTGTATTATTGGTAAAACTTGGTATTAAGGTATGCAAAAACATAAACCGTGTTCTTTCTCTTACCTGAAAACTTGCTGTTGATGTAATCGTCCTTGCAGATGAATTTATTCTCATCTAATATATAGAGTTCCTCTCCTGTAGATAACTGTTTTCGACACACCATGCACGTAAAACACTTTAAATGAAACACCTTGTTTCTCGCCCTGCGCACAAGATCGTTAGGAGATATACCTTGAGTACAGCCGGCACACTTTGTTCCGTATCGTCTGAAAAAAATAAAAATTAAACAATTATTTAATGACAAACTGGGCGTTGTATTGAAAACAAATATTAGATGAACAGTTTCCTTGTTGCTATACGTTCACATTGTATTGTACAATTGTATAGGCTCTCATATGTTCCTCCTTGGTATTTAGACAAAGGGTCCAATCTGATGATACGGATATTGAACAAGGAAATGTTTTAATACAATTGACTAATATGTTCTTATTTTATCGAAAAAGTCATCTTTTGTGTAGTTGTATTAGAGTAAAATCTAACATCTGTATGTGTTGTTCGATCGAGAATTCTTGTTTAACACTTACATTCCCATTGAACATGTAAATTCAACAAGAACGTTATTATATAAGTTCATATTCTGTGAAATGAACGTCAATTAGATATACATATGTATCTTGTCATGCCTATATACCTACCGTGTTTCACCTGTGTAAAAGTAATCAAGGTGGTCTAACCAGAGCATCGATCACGATGTTTCCACACCTCATCTTTGAGGAAATGACCCCGTTGAGTTATAACAGGTTATGGATAAACTCCCAATAGACCTGGCTAAATAATTAATCTACTCTATTGAAAATAGAAATAGCCCACATGTGTAATTAAGACTATTTCAAATTGCTATCTCTCGGCGCCACTCGAGCTTGAAATTAAAAACTTAAGTACCAGTTCAATTTAAATCAAAACTTTGATGAAATATTGTTGAGCGTTTGAAAACTGTAACAGAATTATAGAACAAAGATAAACTCAAAATATTGACAATTATTTTGAACAGACACTCTGTTTATGTTTAAGCCGTTTCATCACGACAACGTGAGTGGGTGATATTCAACTGTAGTCATGGCATTATTGACACGCGAAGCCGTTGAAATTACATCAAATAGCTATGTAAAGTTGACACAATTTTGAACTTAAATGTGTTAATATATGTCACGTAATACCACAGCCGACCGCCGGCAATACCTATCAATATTGCCGTGTCAGTTCAATAGAATTTACTGTTACTATAATACAGTTTCTTACCTGAAAAAATCTGTTCTGCAGTACAACTTCCCGTCCCTATAGAAACATTTTTCTGTCAAATTACTTTTGCAGTCGCTGCACTGAACACATTTGGCATGCCACGCTCGGTCCAAAACATTCAATAGAAATCTGTCCAAGATGGGTCGGTCACACCCAGCGCACTGCACCATCGCTCCCCCCTCACAATCACTGACGCACCCCACGGGCCGTGACACAGGCTCCAACTTGAGGGTCGGGATCAAAGCCCGCGGGTCAACTGACAGTGCCAGCCTTTTAACTTACAAGTACGCCAAAGATAAAAATGTGTAGCGGGTATACCACTTACACACAGCGAGAGGTACTGCAATCCGAATGTCAGGCTGTTGGCTGTGGTACTATGTCCCGTCTTGTGTCAGACTATCCCTATAACATGTAACGCACGTCCGAAGATTAGGGTAGAATCCTATATTGTTCATTCACGTCCGGGTTTGCATGTCTGCCCCTGAAACTCCACACACGATCCCCCGTCCTCTTATTCGGAATATGTGCTGAAAGTTTTCGTGTACCATAACATCATGACACGCTGAAGGGGCGGAGCCAGCACCTGCCAATCACCTTCACAGTCTCCATAGAAACCCTCACGCTGATCGCCCATTGAACACGCCACACTCACATGCGTCGACCAATCAGAGCTCAGCATTGTTGTGACAGGCGATCGCTGCACCAGCCACTCACTGAGCGGGCTCTTAAAGATTGAACAAGGATCTCTCATAGGGTAGTAGTGAGCCTGTCCCCTGCGGCAGACAGACCCCTCGACACCCTACCCTCAGTAGGGCCCTGAGTAGGGCTTATGCAGCATGTACATTCTCACTCTCGCGTCATTGTATATATATTCTTGAAGAACACAGATCGGATTTCCAACGCACTGCTGAAAACGAAATATTTACCCATAAATCCCCAAGCAAACATTTCAGTATGGAAGTGATGTTTTAGTGAGAATCTCCTACAAATTCAAAGTGCAACATTCGTTACATGGCTGTGATCAAAACCCTGTTAAAAGCAAGTTAATGCAGATTCCATTTCACATACGTTTGTACAGGCCATTAGTATAGCTTTAATATAAACAGTTACCCCATTGTCGCGATGGCGGGGAGCGTTTCTCGTACCCTCGTTTACATAACGTCCACTTGTAAACGTTTGTAACCCTGTTACAGTTTCAATTTAAGAAAGTATACTACGGATACTAAACGCATCTTACTCGAACGAGAGAAATCAAATAAAACATACTTCCGTAGGTTGCACGTGTGTTATAAACTTATAATATTATTGACAGTAACATAAATATCATTCAGTTTAAAAAGTAAATTGTCTTCAAGAATAAGTACCGCCTTGGAAGTGAGAGAAACAAATTTATTATTATCATTGTGAATCATATCACTCTGATTGCGTCAATGGTGTTAGTAAGAAGCTTACCAATGACGTCTTTGACATTTCGAAGGAAGCAGGGTGACCAATAGTCTGTCTGATACAAATATATCAAATACAGCCCATGCAAGTCTATAATGTTTGGCAAGTCTAGATCACTGCAGTATCAGGAAAAAGAAAAGAGTCACTGGGCTCCTTTTACTATATTTTTATTAAGATAACTGAACAACTGTTTTTTTCTGTACGATATGTTCATTTCAGAGACTAGATGTTAGTCTAGGTGACCAATGGTCACCCACCCAAAGTCTCAGTGTGGGTAGTTTCCGGGTGTCAGCTGGCAGATGGTAATCTCGTGCTGGCTCACTGCACGCTGGTGACCACGTGAGTTGACCACTTCTCCCGCCATGTTGGTATCTGCGAAGTGTCACCGACGTGTAATCCGGATACAGCGAAACTTGTCAAGAACTGACGCGACCCTTCTTACAAAATCCACAAACAACGGAGCCAGATGTTTCACAAGCTATCTAACATGGCGCAATTTTAATATCTAGGTATTTGTTGAAAAAAAAATCATAAATATTTAACATTTAGTTAAATAAGATCAAATATTTCCAATCTGAAACTGTGCATTTTTGGACTGATGGTTTAATTATACACATTGTATCAACTTGAAACAGAAAATAATTGAATTGTATAATTAAAGCGCTATCTACAATATGTGGTTAAAGCTAGCAAAACTGGATACCTGTATCTCGTATTCATTTATTGACAGGAGTTTTGAGAATATACCTGAGAACAAAGGGGCATCTGATTTCATGCGTGCGGCACATGGTGACGTGATTTCTGTCCACACAACCACGATACATATCATAGATGAGTTTGAATGATTATAGAAAAACACCAACCTTGCATTTTGAACCCGTAAAACAAACACCCGCATAACGAAAACCAGAGTTTAATGACCCATACCACCGTCCAAAACAAGCCGTAATCCCAGCCACGTTAAATTATCATTTCGGAAACATTAACAAGTTTCTCGCACCGGTAAATATCAAAGAAACGAAACTATTCGTTTTCGCGCGACACATTGCACGTGAAGGGAATTTTTTCAGATCATTATCATTTTTACTAGGTGTTCGGTTTGTTTTATTTGAAATAAATGTACATTTAGTAAAATCAGCACCCAACACCTGGTCCTCAGCACGAGGTATTACAATACAGTTAAACGAGGTTTAATCATCATATAGTCTCAGGCAACGACATCGCAAGTGAGTCCGGCCGAATCGCCTCTCAAACACTCTTCGGTTTCTGATACGAAATTCATCGTTATACGAAAATATCATCAATTTTGTACTGTTTGCAAAAGGCATTTTATGGACAGTTGATGAGAGCCGTAGCTGATTGAATGTTGATTCTGTTTGAATATTTTGAAAAATGAACCGTTTTTGAAAAAATCGATTTGTTTATTGAATTGTTATTGAGGCTTTGAAGATGAGATATAACACTGCGTTGTTGATGAGGCATTGAATGTTTAACTAAAATGTTTAACTGAATGTTTAACTAAAACTAACTACACCACCTTACTTCACTGATTACTGGTTGTTGTTGTTGTTGTTGTTGTTATTATTATTGTTATTATAGCAGTAGTGACGTTGGTGGTGGTAGTAGTAGTAGAAGTAGTAGTAGTAGTAGTAGTAGTAGTAGTAGTAGTAGTAGTAGTAGTAGTAGTAGTAGTAGTAGTTGAGTAATATAGATTGTGTTGAGGAAGTTTAAGGTGATGGGTTAGGGTAGTGGTTAAAGCGTTTGCTCGTCACGCCGAAGACCCGGGTTCGATTCCCCACATGTGTACAATGTGTGAATCCCATTTCTGGTGCCCCCCGCCGTGATATTGTTGGAATATTGCTAAAAGCGGCGTAAAATAATATAACAAAACATCGTATGTGATTGTTCATTTCAAACCCATTTAAAGCTAAAGTTTTGTCCCTTTTTTCATTAAAGTTTCAATCATGTCATATATGTGTCAAATGTTGGCTGTTATACATTCCAACAATCACTACCACATCGCTAAGTCCAGTCAATGAACGCTGAACCTCATCACGAAAGACAGAGCTGTACGGCGATCGTCACTCGTGACCATTAGGGGTTTATTTCCATGTATACACTATTAGTAGGGGACGGGTTTATGACCCTATGTACCCACCCCTCAGCATTGTTATGCTCACGATAACACACCCCTATATAAACTACACGGCGTTACAACAGCTGTAATTGCCCAATCAATCGATGATTACACTCACTTAACGGGTGCGCTTTCCCCTATATACATCTCCATGTGGAGGCGTTTGTAAGCGATTAACGTCGGCTGTGTATTGATCACAACAATCGATCAACGTTTATTCATCGCTAAATCAGTTTACGCATATCAATTGATTTCATTTAATTTTTATTCAAGTCGACTTGCGTCGTGTGTGTCAAGAGATTTGTCATTAAATTTGAAAAATATGTTTTATACACTTATATTATGAGATTATATATCGAATGCTGAATGTTGATGAAATCTAACTTCTGAATTCCTTCAAAATAAAACAGATCTATAAAATATTTTTCTTAGCTAAATACTCAGTGAATTTAGCACCAGACTAAACACGCCACTTGTGCATCGCGCTTAAACTCCACATTTTCTGTCTCAGCGACCTTTCGATTATTGTGTTTCTTCTAAGCCTTTGCACATTTATGACATAAACTGCCGGATAAAAGACATATACACTTGTAATTTGGACCAGACCAAACAATAACAAACGTTGTCAAAGCGTTACAACCCGAAAACAGTCACCGAAACACCTCAAACTTAAGTTCTAAAACACAACTGTGATACCCGTATCAAATACCTCACCACCCACTAACCCTTTCTTGTTTGTTTCACATTTGGCCGCCATCACTTTAGTGAATGCTTTATTTTGCCCGGTTGTTTATTCATAAAACCTTTTCCTTTTTTATTAAAGGAGATCACGGCACCATTGTTGTTTTAAATCGTGGATAATTGAATTGTGTAAATGGCGTAAAACGTTATCACCTAAAAATATATCCACTTTGAAACATCTGTCCAGATACATCATAAAATTGAACTCATTATTGCGTTAAGGTGTCTAATTTTATTTCTTTTGATGATGATGATTATTTTTATTACTTTATTTGCTTAATTTCTATTTATTTTAGGCTTGTTACCATCTTGATCTGCATTGTATATTATATGTTGTATATATATATATATATATATATATATATATATATACTCTTGTACCACTGTTGGTGGTTTTTCAGAGAAATAAAGTGAACTGAACTGTTTAATTTCAAGTAACCCACATCCAGAAATACGCTGAATCCCGGACGGGACTCAACCCCCAAAAGTGTTAGAATCTGTACTTTATGGGGAAGGTATTATCCCAGATTGAACATTTTTTGCTTTTCACCACTTTCTGAATTGTGTTTCGCGCACTGATACGTCCAGTAGTTGTCAATTCGGTTACAATAATTATCGTCAACATTGACAGTCGAGTTTAACGTAAGCATGCTGCCATCTCCATCTAACACCGGTATGTTGTATGCTTGAATCTAGATATACCCTCTGACACGGAGGTTATGAAGGGTGCGAGGTGCAAGGTGTGTCCAGAATCTCTATTAATGGGTGATGTAATATGTATGTAGCGCATACACGTTAAAGTCAGCACCCCTCCGTCACGGCGTAACCACCCCGGTGCGGGGGGAGTTTGTGCCGCTGAGATTGGTGCCAGACTCGTCTCTCGCAGCAGCGTGAAATGATCATGGGGGTGAAGCTGTATCGAGGCCCGGGGTAAGGTGTTCAGGAACTCAGGGGGGATGTTTGTTCGGGTCGGGGGTAGACAAAGGGGAAAACAATGATCATTCATCGCAGCTGAAGTTACACAAAGCGCCTTTAAGATGTATCGCTCTACGGCCTTTTGTTCACGTATTTACCTATTTGAACTACATTTGGCAACAGTTTAAGGGTAATTGCTACAAAAACACAGATCCCCGGGTAAATCCATTAGCACTGGGGATCAAAGCTGCTGTGTGCACCCCGACAGACGGGTGGGACATACCCCGATCAGACCTCACC